GAGTCATTAAAGTCAATAAAGTTCAGTTTACATTTGAAAAATTAATTAAATAAATATTTATTATTATTCTCTTACATTAAACAAATAAAACTCTATTTATCTTTAAAACATTTTTATTTCATTATACTATTTATTTTTAAGTGACTCTAATGTCTTCATCAGAATTTCGGTTTGTAATTTTAAATTAATCATTACTTGGTTGTGCATCTACGAGGCTTCTCCAAAACTACTTGCTTTCTGCAACAAATAAGAGAATATTAATTTAAGCTCTGTCCATGCAAAACTTAAAATTTTTTATAATTCATATTATAAATTTTTAACACATTTATATTAATATAATTATATAAATGTGTTAATAATATAATTTGTAGCACATGCTACAGACCTGGATAGCAACTTTCTTTTATTCTATTTAGAGATAGAGATAATTTAAATATAATACCGGTGTCTTCCTTGTAGGTTTCTTTGGAGTTGTTTGGGGATTCTTGTTGTTCAGTTCGACATGATTTTCTTTAACCTTTCTTTAATCCTACAAAATAATGAAATTGTTAAGTTATGTTGTCACTGTTGTGCACACCTTTGTTTGGCTTTTTTAGTATTCAAGTTATGTCAAAACTGATTTATTACCTTGTCATTGTTGGCTTTATTTGCTTTTGGGATATCAATTGTTTCCAAAATGATTTTATTTGTAATAACCTGAAATATATAAATAACATCTATTAATTTAAGTATCATGGTGAGTGGTTCGCACTCAGGTATTAAGGTGTATTATACCCACTGTCCATTATAAGTGGGAATGGGCTCACTTCTGGCAGGACAGAGTTTTGGTACTACAAGTGCAACATGGATGTTTTGAGGTATTACAATATCTCTAACTACCCTGTAGGGGAATAAAGTAATGTTGTAAGCATATGCCTATGCTTGAAAGGTTGAACCTTGAACATCACCATACATCATATTTATAATTAACATTCCTACCTCGACACCATCACAATCAAATTCATTGAAATCTACTTCAAACCATTGTGTCTCGAGAAGGTGATGGTGGCTTTGTTCCACCTCCAGTTTTTGATGTTTCACGATCTTTTTTTGTATTCAATTTAGTGCACTTCCACTGATTCATCAATTGTTTTTTGTCTCTTGTCCTTATATTTGCTAGATTAAATCTGATGTTTTGATTAAATAATGTGGTCATTTTTTTGAGATGCAGGTACTTATTAAAATGTTTACTTCTCTGTTATATCGCTCCAAGCCTTCATTTTCTCCTTATTAGTATTCGTGCTTAAATCTTTGTTCTCAGTTATTGATATATAGGGTCGTAGAATATTTCTAAAAAGTTGCTGTAACAAACGCAATAAACAAAAGCAATGAATAATGGTTCATGTTTCAGTTTTAATCAACAATAATACTCGATAATACATACGGATAGTTAACCTCAATTGTATTGAAGCACTCAGGAAGGTTAGCACAGTTTTTTCACAAATATTTTATATTATTTCACAAATATTTTGTATAATGAAAATAACTAGGTATATAATTATTAATTTTAAACAATAATTAAAACTCCTATATTTGTTTAAAAGGTAAATGTCATTGTCAGATGTCAATTGTCATGGTCATTCAAAATTCTTGTTAAGCTGCTAAGCTAGAATATGCGTGAAGTTAGCTTCACGCATATTCTATTTCTTTTACTTGTAGTTTGTCTTATTCCCATCTCGCTCGCGCACGCTATATCACACTGCCAATTTTGTGTCATAGGTGCGCGCGCAATCGTAAAATTTCACTCTCATCAATTTTTCATAACGCGCCTAAAGAAGTACAACTTCAAATAAATGTCAATCAATATAATGTGTTAAACGCATTGTAGAAAATAGCTTTGTGTCGCAAAATAATATCCATAATATAGTTGTAGAGAAGAAGGAGAAAAGAATGAGGTTAATATTTAGGACAAGATACAGAGTTAAGACTTAACGTTAAGTATGACTTACGTATATCAAAATAATACGTTTAGAAAAGAATTGCGGCTTAGCATGGTAAAAGATACTTGCACACTAACTAATCTATACCAAGCCTTTGTTAACAAAAGAAACAAGGAACCAGTATGAAGCAGTTATTATAGTGTGCAGTGGAATCGGTGCTATTGTACTCTAATTAAAAATGCTACTTTTGTGCAATTTTATTCGTGCGATCTCGGTGCTTTGTATAAACTAACGCCATCTGCAACAGCCTTTTAAATTAAAAATAATCTTATCTTAAATATACAAAAGGTATTTTATTAATGTATTTAGAACTGTGGTATGTAATATGTTAGATAAAATAGTTGATAAATTACATTTTGGGTTTGATTTCCGGTGAAAGAATTATTTTACTTGGTAAACCTAGAAAGATGTGAACCAGATTACGAAAAGTCGGTCTTATTCTAGCTATGAGACTAGAGATAGTTGGGATTATATGCTACAATTTTACATTATACAGAAAGACTAGCTGCCCCCGCGAACTTCGTTTCTCCTTAATGTGATTGTACTTAGCCTACCTTTTTAGTACCAACATGGAACATTTTGCTATTCTACCCCAGAGACTGTACAGTTTTCTGAAAACTTTTTAGGTTTTTCTGTGAATTTTTCTCTATATAAACCTCAGAGTTCAAGTCATAAAATTTTAATTAACAAATTAAAAATAGGGGTTGATCGTAGAGGGGTGAACATTAAGGGTTTTATGTATTTTTGTATGTTGTATAATAAAAAAATAAAAACACAAAATTTTATCTAAAAAATAAAAATATAGGGTTGGACCACCCTTAGCATTTAGGGGTTTCTAAGATAGATAGTAGCCGTAGCTCAGACTTACTGAATATGCATAAAAAATTTCATAAGAATCGGTCGAGCCGTTTCGGAGGAGTATGGGAAGGAACATTGTGACACGAGAATTTTATATATTAGATTACGGAATCACAAAGAAATGTTATTATTACTTGGTTAAAAATTCGTTGAACTGTCAATATATATATTTTTAATTAATTTCGTCAAAAGTTACTTAAAATATAACCTATATTTACACGGGTGACCTAAATAAACGTATCTTAATTAATTTTGAATTGGAAACAAATATATTAATTTAAAAACTTCCTTCGATTTTGCGCGATTTCACATATTTTTCGTTCATTATCAAATTACAATATGGAATGGGGTGTTAATGAAAATAGGATTGCAGTGATCGCCTTACACAAAGTGGGTATTTTTTATGTTAAAGGAGGCAAACGGGCAGGAGGCTCACCTGATGTTAAGTGATACCCCCATGGACACTCGCACCGCGAGAATGATCGCAAGCGCGCTGCGGGTCTTTTAATAATTGGTACGCTCTTTTTTGAAGGACCCTAAGTCGAATTGGTTCGGAAATTCAGCATTATATTTCTTATTAGGTAATATTACTGTAAAGGCTTGATTGTAATTCTTATACTCGCTGTTTTTGTTGAGCTTATAGTAAGAAAAAGAAGTTTAATGAATTTTGTGCCTCGCAAAACATGAATATTGCTTTCATCTATATAAACTCATTCTCTTCTCCGGTCTACATATAAAACATAGACATACTAGCTTAAAAACTAACGATAGTCGGTAAATCCTATGAAATTCCTGATTATTGTAACACTTTACTTGTAACTCTAAACCGATAAAATTGCGGTTAAATAACCACAAAGGAATAATTAAAGGATAAGTCGAATTTAACTTTGATATTGTCGAGCGAGTTTGCTTATCTTGGCGAAGCCGCGTACAAATTATTTGAAGAAGTCTATTAAGTGTGAGGGTGTGCAATTATTCAATAAATTACCGTCTAATATTCGTAATATTAGCGCGTTTATCCAATTCAAAAGGGCATTAAAGATACATATCACAATGAGTCTAGTAGACTAAAATTAGCACGGTTGTCTAATGGCGACGTCTATCTCGCTTCTACGCTGACAATTCCGCGGCGGAATAAATGAAAGCATTTTGACACAATGACATAAATGGTTGCCTGGAAGAGATCGCTTGAAAGCGATAAGGCCGCCAGTTACCCTCTTTTTTATTCAATTATTTAATTGTACTTTATTTATAAATAAAGCCCGGAAGTCTTGAATTCGATTTCCAATCTATAAACTCGCCATAATCAATGAAGCCGACGAAAAAAATGTGTATGCCTAATGCAAAACTTCTAATACGAAAAATAAAAGTTAGATACACCCTTATAATACGTTTTTTAATTGCCCCACCTGAACTACGCATTTTGATAATTTAATACCCCAACCTTAGAAAATATAAAAAATTAACCCAACCAAAACATTCCTTACAAATGAAGTCGATGACATATTATACCTTTGTCAGTCAAAATACTACCGTGTTAAACTGTTAGAAATTCAAGGCCTGTAACATAAGTCAGGCGTAAAAGCCTACACGCACAGGAGTGACAGCTAAACGTTTAAACCTTTAATCTATATAATTAAAAACAATGTATATTACTAATTCATTTTATAAATATAAATAAAACAGTGGCGCTACTACCTTTTTAGGCGTGGGCCTCAGATTTCTGTATCTATTTCATTTGTGACGGAGACTGAAAAGAGTGGCGGAGAGTTTATTGCCAGTTCTTCTCATCCGTTCTACGCCCTTGATTTAAAAAATGGCAGTAAATGTAAAATTAGAAGCATTTTATGTATATATTTTTTTTTGAAGTTCATAAGTGTACATTGTGTTACCAAAATGAATAAATGATTTTTTTGACTTTGTCAATCTAATAGGCAAATAGGTGATCAACCTCCTGAGCCTGACACACGTCGATGTTTTGGATCAAATGCAAGCTGGTTTTCTTCACTGTTCCAGCGAATGTTAAATGCGAATACATAGAAAGAAAGTCCATTAGTCCACAGCGGGGGTTCGAACCTACGACCTCAGGGAACACTCTATGAATAAATTTTTAATCCATTATTTAAATCTAAGTCTATATAAATAATGGCCTAAGAAACTCACCTCGTTCCCCCACGAAGATATCATCAATGTCGACAAGTATCCACCGGTCGAGGCTCAAGCTCAACTGGCCATGACTGAGGTAACTCAACGCGTCGAGGAACAGCAACCGATGTAACCAGAACTGCAGCCCGGCCCCAAACAGGACCCTTTGGACGCCGTCCAAACGACCGTGGTCTTGCATAACTGTAGCTAGCGGTATGTGGTCTTCTGTTGAAATTCGAAAGCTTTATTTATAAATATTTAATTTTAGCAAAGACAATCTATAAAAAGGTTGTTAAATTTAAACTTTATTCAACTATACTGATATGTTGTATATGTATGATATTCAAAATATCTTTGATATATAATCGCAATATAACAAAGGTTAAAATTTAATGTGTTCCGTTTTCGATTATGGTAGTTAGAAATTGTTATTATGCCTTAAATCAGTAGTTTAATTCGTCTTCCTCAAAAGTTTAGACAGTTATTTGCCAGATACACAACGGTATGCTTAAACCACTTGAAATCTCAACTAAAATATAAAGCTATGTATACCGCAATTTAAACATTTATCAATGTAATAATACTAAAATGAAGTTTTTCAACTCATTTTCTCCAATTTCCCCAACTTCCCCAATAACACATCTTACATTATTTATATGCATATTGCTTTTATTAGGTACGTTTTTAGTAACATTTATTTACACGCAAATTAAATCACACTATCACTTTTCGTATGGTATACATTAAATTCGTGTTTGTTACTGATATAAAGGACACGATATAAAAAGTGTGTTTTAATAGATTTATAAAAGGGGAGCGCTAATGGCGGCAGGCATTAGTGTCTCGTGTTTCAACAATAATGAACGGCTAGGTTTTTTAACACTACATATGCAAGAAACATAATGTATTAATAATTATTTCGATATTGTTACGCTACGTTTACTTAGTATCAGGAAAGTGGTAAAGATCTGAGCGCACGGCGAATTTTTATAATCATTATTTGGTATATTTTGTATTCGGTGGAGAGGTCCTATTGGGAAACGATACCGAGGAAGAACGCTCACGAGATGGGCGGATGACATTATCATAACGATGGCTCGAGCTGGATGCAGCTTGCCCATTACAGAGATACCTGGATATCCTTGGAGGAGGTAAAATCTATAGTTGCAATATTTGTGAATATGTGAGCACCCTGTATCTACATAATAATTTAGTTATCTGCTGCATTGCTTTTTGTAACACCATGCGTCTATTTTATTTTAGTGTAGTAGTTTTTTTTATTCTAGGTACAGGATCTTCACATATAATTTGGAATCAATGTATACAATTTTTTTTTAACTATTTTAAAAGGGTAAGTATGGAGTTTCTTGCCCGTTTCTCTCCATTGAACTACCTTTTGGAAGGGGCATCTAGAGTAATGTTTTAAAAATATTAACTTGTAATTTTGACTTTCAAGAGTGCCTTTTAAATATGCCTAATTGAAATAAATGATTTGACCTCGAGGCCTTTCCCTCCGCAGGTGAAGATACTAATTAGAAGGTAGATATTTAGTACTGATAAAATTTGTGTAATTTATTTTCTTTTAAAAATTATGATAGGATTAAGTTTATTATTGTAAATTAAGTATTATAATAATAAATACAACTAAAATGCTTTTTAATTGTTTTTATTATTATTATATATTTTTATAGGCATTTTTAAATTATTCATTCAAATTTTAACTGTTCCGATGGCTTTATTGATTGACATTAACGATAAGGCATGAATATATTACTTGCTAATAATGAGGTCGACAATGAAGCAAAAAATGGAAAATTGTGGACTGCCTTGGAAAATTTTATCAAATCTTTCAAATTTATAAATACAAATACTACTTTCTTTTTTATTCCATGTTAATGTTTTGTTTCGTATGTGTTTTTATATATACATATATTATTTTTAATATGACATATTTTGTAATATACTTCACGTGTAACACACAAATAGTTTAAGTTAATTGTTGAATTACAATCGGCAAGGCGAATTATAATTTATAATACAAATTCCGGAGTCATTTCAAAGAATGTTACACATGTTATAGCGCATGTGAAGAAAAAAATTCTCGGAACAAGCGGGTTCGGAATAAACAATTTCGACCAAACTGTCCTTGACTGTGGCAACCAGACATTGCATGTTCATTAAATTTGTAATGCCAACGTCTCTACACAAAAAAAAAACTTAAATAGCACGTATAGTTCATATTCCTGAACAATTTATCAAATAAAACAAGTAACTTTGGTACTACCGTGCGTAACTTAAAAAAATTTGGTTGATTAGCAAAATCTGATATATTACATTATTTTATTTTACTTTTTAAAATTTAACGTTTACTTAATTTATACTTGATACAGTTCTTAGGAATTAACTTTATTAGGAATGTTATTATATTTTATAATTCATAAGGGATCACACTATTCTGACAACACATAAGTTCGCTATATTCAAACACCAAATGTTGCTTCAAAAATTATTAAAACATAAGTAGAAAATATAACCCAAAGGCCGTAGGCCTGTAGGCCTTGGTTTCAGACTCTTGGATGTTTTTTAAGCACACCAACTTTTAGGTCTTCCTTTAACCATTAACTGCGCACATAGAAAACATGCACAACCGTAATTTGAACGACCTCACGGTTTCGAGACGCACACTTTTTTGTACATAACGTTTGAGGGAAAACAAGCCAATGGACATCCATTTTAGTGGGTGCGTTACCGGGCTTTTAGAACTATACTCTGGAGGTCTCTCTCTCAGGGAAGACCAGGAAAGATTCCAACCAGACTACCAGGGGAATCGATTCCACAGTTCGCTAGTTCGCAAAATGTCTTGTGAAGTCGACTTCCAGCCATCAAGGTGATGACACTAACTCTCAAGCCACTAGGCCAACACAGCTCATAAAAATATTGAATGGAAGACGGCAATTAGCATATTTTATGTACCCTTGAGATAAAAGTTATCCGCTATCAATTCAAAGTAATTGAGAGCAAAGGCCTCCCCAGAGTTTTTACAAGATGTAATTGTCTTAACTGTTGGCTCGTAAACCTTGATAAACATAAATCTTCACACATTAAACTTTGATCCAGCGATTCACCATCGGTAATATGAATTTATCGTTTCCGTTTTGGCTTTCTCAAATCAATCAAGCCGTCTGCATTTTTATTACCTATTGTGTTGCGTTCATTGAAACGTATTAGGCTATGTTCAGATGGCAAAAACTTGACGCGCGTTTTCAAATCGCGCGACTAGAGATTATGGTATTTTTCATACAACTGTTCACATGTACGCGCGTTAACGCGCGTCAACGCGGCGCTCAGAGAAAAAGTCTCTAGACGCAGGTGATCGCGCGTTGACGCGCGCTTTGATATTAATGTAATGTCCGTTTGCTGTTCAGATGAGCGCGCGCTTTCATCGCGATCGCATGTAATTTTATTAATTTTCGTAATTATATTTTGTTCTCGCTTTTAAAATGAGTGAAATTGAAGATATTGACATCGACTTACTAATCGATGAAGTAGAAAAAAGGTCAGCAAGTTGGAATATAGCAAATTTGTATAAAAAATATAATATAAATTGTATTTTTTTTCAAAATTGGATAAACCCAATGTGTACGTTTTCTTTTACTATATTTTTTCTTTATAATATAACCACAAAATAATAGCCTCTTCCACGTCCATTTTCTACGTTCTACCGAACTAGACTGACGAGTACTCTCGCAACGCGCGTTAGCGCTCATCATCTGAACGCTCTTCAAATTTGATCGCGCGTTGACGCGCGTTAACGCGCGTTCATTGAAATCGTTTTAAAGTTTCGGTTTACGCGTAGTATGAAAGACGGATTTCAAGTTGACAGTGACAAAAACGCAGTCGAAATGTCAAGTTCTGTAAATATTGTAGTCTGTGGATGGGACGCACACTCTTATAAATGTAGTCGCGTTTTTTAAAGTTTTGAAAGAATAGAGAATAAGATGAAGTATTTTCGAACCAACTCGACAAGCCTTCAAGAAAAAGAGCTTGCCAATCCATAAAAGGCTTTGAGGCATGTGAGCCTCATGCCCGTTTTTCTCCAGTTTTTGTTATACAAAAAAATAGACTATCTACTTAGATATTTAAAGTGCAGTTTATTGCCAGTTCTTCTCTTCCTTTCTACGCCCTTGATTTGAGAACTGGCAGTAAATTTAAAATAAGAATCATTTCATATATATTTATTTTTTGACGTTCATAAGTGTACATTTTGTTACCGGACAGTGTTTGTGAGACACACACATCATTACCAGATGGGATAAATTCGTCTGACATAGTCGAAGCATCATACGAGAATCACGGATGTTCAACGCATACTTCTCTACCTGTAGATCTAGGTTGTCATTAATGTATTTACCAAAGCCAACGCTCGGCACACTGATACATTGTTACATAAGAAAAACAAAGTACAAGATTCAATGTGCCAAGCACTTAGGCAAACACAACAAAGACATAAAAAATACATCGATTTATAAATTACAAAAACTAAAGGAAAATTGATTTCAAAGCATGAGCAGCTATCGATATCTAACTAGTTTATCAGAATGCTCAATCTATCATCGATGAGATTTGGCTATTCATAATTTTATTGTAAAACCCCACCCGCATAGAACCTCATGACCTACAACTTACAAACACTAGACTAATGGGGTAGATAATAATAAAAATGTCGTAAAAGAACTATAAAAGTTATGTTGATTGTTCGAAACGAGTTGAGAACAATTGTTTATATTGTCCAAATTAAAGCTTTAATGGATCTAAAGCTTCCAACAGAAAATAATAGATTAATGAATGCAGCTGTTTATTTAATGGATTATCATACCGTAACATTTCTGTATTTAGTAAATTTAAAATGACATTAAGCACATTCTGAGCCCAGAAGACTAAAATTACAAAATTAAAACAGTTATCGGATAGCGACGTGCAATTCTCATTATAATTAAGTTCTAATAAAAAAATAATTTTGATCGTAAGAATAAAGTTCTCTAACCAATAATTGACTGTTAAAAGTGTTCATAAAGCCAGTAACAGGGTTATTAATAGCCCAAGCTTTTGTTAATAGTTAACAGTTAAATAATAAATCAGTGGCGCTACCTCTTTTGGTCTGGGCCTCAGATTTCTGAATCTGTTTCATGATCAAATAGGCAAGTAGGTGATCAGCCTCGAGTGCCTGACACACGCCGTCGACTTTTTGGGTCTAGACAAGCCGGTTTCCTCACGATGTTTTCCTTCACCGTTCGAGCTAGTGTTAAATGCGCACATAGAAAGAAAGTCCAAGTCCTCAGCGTTGAGAGTTGCACGCTGAAGCCACTACGCCAACATTGCTCTTAACAGTTACTTTGAGTATTTAATATTTTGTTGTTCCCATACTCCTCCGAAAAGGCTCGACCGATTCTTATGATTTTTTTAAAGCAAATACAGTTAGTCTGAGAATTAGACAACATCTATTTTTCATCCCCCTAAATGTTAAGGGTGGTCCCACTCCTAAATTTTTTTTTTAATTTATAGAAAAAACTTTTTGTTTTTATTTTTTTATGATACAACATCCAAAAATACATAGAACCCCTAATTTTCACCCCTCTACGATCAACCCTTATTTTTTATTATTGTAGATAGTTATTTTTATTGAACTAAAAAAATGTTTTCTAGAAATAATATACATGGCAAAACAAACGTTTGCCGGGTCATCTATATATATAATATATACCGTAATAAATAAGAATCCTCACCATTCGCTCCATATTCGTTCTCCCTTGAAGCCCACGCAACAGGTTCGTAAGTGGAACTATTAGGCCTAAACACCGTCCAGTGGTCACCAGGCAGTGGGCCCCAAGCTGTCTCACCAGCCCGTGCTAATCTTAGTACTGGTGATGCTGGGTTTAATGATGCATCCTGAAGAAAATACATTAAATGTGATTTTCATATCATTGCAACAGATGTATTTTTTAAAGACTTTTCCTACAGCGTATACGATGTTTTAATGTATAATTAGCAAGTAAAAACAACGATAGAATTCACAAAACCATTTAATTATATTTTAAAAGCAACTTTATTAAAAAGAGTGGCGGAGAGTTTATTGCCAGTTCTTCTCTTCCGTTCTACGCCTTTGATTTGAGAACTGGCGGTAAATGTAAAATTAGAAGCATTTAATGTATATTTCTTTTTTGACGTTCATAAGTGTTACCTATATGAATAAATGATTTTTGACTTTTAACAATACTCCGGTCAATTTAGACCAAAAAATGAGAGTGAAGTTACATAAAGTCCCAACAAGCTGAATTTCAGTGAAATTGTTCAAAACATAATTATAAACAATGTCTAGAAGTTCCCCATCATTCCCGTGTAAGGAAAAAATTTTATTTAAGGGCAAAGGTCAAAAAAATGAGTTTTTCGCGATTTTCAGCAAAATGGTAAGTTTTATCATAAAAGTACCTCAGAAAAAATTGTAGATCATACAATTATCTATAAAAAATGTATCAATACTTTTTTTCTTACGAGCCACCGTTTCTGAGATATAACGATTCAAAAAGTTATAAAAGTTATAATGATGCTGATGTATTGATTATTATTGAAACAGCAATAGAGCAATTCAATTTGACAAATACAACTATTGTTGTTGGTGAAGATGTTGACTTACTTGTATTACTCACTGCTCGAACGCCAACTGAAAAAACTATTTTTTTCTTAAAACCAGGAAAGCTCAGCATCAATCAGATATATATTCATCAAAAAGTTTATTTACTTTTGTAAAGTGTAAAGATCATGTACTATTTTTACACGCAATAACTGGCTGTGATACGACATCTGCATTTTACAGGAGGGGTAAAACAGCAGTTTTCAAAATGTTTGAAAAACTAGATTTAATTCAATGTGCTGAAGTTTTTAAAAAGAGTAATTCAACTCAACAAGAAGTTATTACCAACGGCATCCGCTTTCTTCTTTCTATGTACGGAGCTCCTAAAAAAACTACCTGTTTAGATAAGCATCGATATGCATAAAAAACAAGTTCAATTAGCTTGTCTTCCTCCAACCTCAGTTGCTGCTCACCAACATCTTTTTCGAGTATATTACCAAGTTCAAGTGTGGCTTGGTTATCAGCTAGACCTTACAGACTGGGGTTGGAAGTTGGTCAACAATATATTAGAGCCAGTTCAAACTTTACTTCCACCTGCGCCGGAAAAACTGCTGAACACTATTTTTTGCAACAGCAAAAAGGGATGTAGTGCTAAATGTGGTTGCAAAAAAGTCGGACTGTCTTGTTCTTTGGCATACACAAATTGTTAAGGCCGGTCGTCGATAACAACTTTTATAACTTTTTGAATCGTTATATCTCAGAAACAGTGGCTCGTAAGAAAAAAAGTATTGATATATTTTTGATAGATAATTGTATGATCTACAATTTGGTCTCAGGTACTTTTATGATAAAACTTACCGTTTTGCTAAAAATCGCGAAAAACTATTTTTTTTTACCTTTGCCCTTGAATAAAAAATTTTCCTTACACGGGAATGATGGGGAACTTCTAGACATTGTTTATTATTATGTTTTGAACAATTTCACAGAAATTCAGCTTGTTGGGACTTTATGTAACTTCGAATGTCTAAATTGACTGGGCTACAAAAAGGTTTGAGATATCAAAAAAGTTTAGCTCATTTAAAGTTCAGTTCAGTTCAGAAGTAAAAAACTCTTGATAAACATAAATACAAGTGAAGTTAAACTTATTATATTCGAGTACAGTGTAAGAGCATTTCAAGGTCAGATAAAATCTATAAATTTCAATTTACCTTAAGCCTTAAATTGGTATGCATGAAGAGTGGGAATCCTTTCAGCTGGGCCCCTACGAGTGTCTCCTCGCCGGGTGTGGCGAACCCCACAACCCCTACCGAGTATTCTCGACAGTATTTGTCGAGAAGTTCCCGATTCCACTTGTCCATGTTCGCGTATTTCGATAGAGACTCGAACACAATTACTCCGTATCGACCCTTGTCCAACGTGGTAAGGACCGGCAGGCTTTTGCCTGCTACCTCCACTTTATACCTGTAATAAAGATATTAATTTAAGGAATAGAACAAATATGTATGTTATATGAAAGTATCATAAGTAATTCTTTTTAAAGATTGATGCGATGGTATTGACATACGGCCTCGTACCCAAAAGTCTATTTTATTTTATAGACTAGCGGACCCGACCGACGTTGTCCTGCATGATATTTCAAGCGATTAGTATATTAAACAAAGTATGATAGTACCGACTGCAGCGCCATCTGCTGGTCTGATTTCTGAATATAAACCATCCAGGGCGTCACCCAAACGCATATAAAAATCATTCAAATCGGTCCAGCCGCTTAAGAGGAGTTCACTGACATACACACGTTCAGAAAAAAATAAAAACAGAAAAAATATCTAAGAATAAAAAAAATATTTAGGGGTGGACTACCCTTAACATTTAGGGGGATGAAAAATAGATGTTGTCTGATTCTCAGACATACCCAATAAGTACACAAAATTTCATGAGAATCGGTCGAGCCGTTTCGGAGGAGTTTAACTACAAACACCGCGACACGAGAATTTTATATATTAGATGACGATATTTGCAGCACGCATTCTGTCAATGTTTTGTCAAACGCCATAAGGTTAGATCAAAAAAGTTTGAATTAGTATTAGTATGGTGGTTAAGTATCCTTAAATTTTCTAATTTTCCGCGCAATTTTCTTATTTTTTTCTTTCATAGCAACATTCTCCTGACAATAACGAACACAACAAAAAATAATTAGCGAAATCGGTCCAGCCGTTCACGCGTGATGCAGTGACTAAGGGAAATAGGGATTCATTTTTATATATACAGTGTCAACTCTTTATAACATCAATCGTTATAACGAAAGAACCCATACATTAATTGTTCCCTCCCTATAACGAACGTCTCTATAACGAATACAAATGCTCAGTCCCTTGAAATTCGTTATAAAGAGTTTATACTGTATAAGATTTCGTAAACGTTGGCTTAGAGTTTTAAATTATTGACACAGTCGTTAGCAACTCAAAACATTTTGTATTTGTGAAAATAGAAATGGCGTTCAACTCAACGATTTCAGGTGCATCGGAATCGTCTATGTCTATTCCCATTTCTCGTTTCTTATATCAAAATATTCTAACTGAATAAACAAGAACAAGCGGCGCGGGAAATCAAACAAATATTTAGTTTTAGATACGACGTTTTTTCCCGACTGCGAAGGCAAGAGGCGGCATATTTGGTTGGTTTTATGCTGATCATAAATGATAATATAGACTGATTATGATAATCTAGTAGTGGGGTGGTGGTTTTTAATTAACACTAAAACCACCAGGCAACGTGTCCAGGTCTTTGTTAACGGGTAGCTGAGATTTTGGTAATCTTCTGGATAATACATTAAATGCTTCTAATTTACATTTACTGCCAGTTCTCAAATCAAAGGCGTAGATTGTAAGAGAAGAACTGGCAATAAAAAAATACTTTAATCAAATCAAATAAATTAAACGATCTTTAGTTACAACCGGTAGAGAAAGATCCGATATGCTAGTACATCAACATAAAACATTGGTATCATTATTTAAAACTAGTCTAATTATTACCAAAAACAGTATAAATTTTGAGGTATTTTAGCGAAAACAATTTATTTGAAACAAAGAGCCCGGTCGTGATTGGCAATTACGAAGATGAAGTTCTCCAAACATTCTCCAGGATACTCTCAAATTTCCAATCAATACCAGCAATTTAATGTTGATAAAATCTTATGGGTCAATTGAAATCCTATTTCCACTACGTAGACAAGTTAAGTTGGTTAGGTACGCAAATATGTTTATAAGTTATTTACCTTTATGACCTCCGTGGCCTTGTGAGTTACATGCATATCACGAATTCTATTTCCGGTAAAACAATTTCAGATCGATAGTAGACATCGGTAGCCTTGTAAAATGTTAGAGCCCTTGCACGAAAGAGTAGAAGCGATATTAAAATATCAGTATTAAATATATTAAGCAAAGAATATATTTTCATTTGTGATCAAGTCAGATTTTATCATATCAAACTAACTATTTATTACAATAATATTAAAACATGTGTTTTTGTAAGATCGTAAAGAAAAAACTCAAAAACTACTGATTTTATTTTACAATAAGAATTCTATTTTATCCTTGAGTAGAATATGATTCTTATATAAATATCATTATAACAATGTAATGTATTTATGATTATTTATGTATAATGTGACATAACCGCACTGAGAAAACCGTGAAAAACTGATATAACAGGTGCTACACTCACTAAAAACCTTTTAGGTCTGGTTCTCAAATTTCTTTATCAGTGTCGAGATCACTAATTTATCGTAAAATATACGTAGGTAATCAGCCTCCGGTGAAATATATAAAGGGATAACTGCTCTTCGAGAATCATTATTTTTAATTATTTACGGGAAATGCCACTGATTGCGATAGTAAATCCTCTACGGGTGTAAAGGCAAAATATAAGGTATTCACCTAAAGGGTGCTTTCAATTTGGCAAAGGTTCGTTGCGGCTCAAGCTGAATGGGAACTTGCAAATAGCATTTACGAATTTCTGGCCTGTCCGCCTTGCTAAGTGTACGTTATATGCATTTGTTGGCAACTGCTCGTACCAGTTACTGCCACTTTACCTTAATGTTAACCGCAAAATGTACATCACCTGAGCTCAGTGGCAACTATATAATATAATACTTGAATTATAACATCTAAATAAATCTTAATTCGGTGTCACAAATCAATGAAAACGATGACCAAATACCATGAATTGAGTTTGGAATTGCTTCTGCATTCTTCAGATTTGGCTCCCAACGATTTTTTCCTGCTCTCAGACCTCAAGAGAATGCTCGCTGGACAGAAAATTTGCGCTTATGAAGAGGTCACAGAAACTAAAGCCTATTTCGATGGTTAAGGGGCATAAATCTATTCAGAGAAGACGTGTTATTTTTTGTATTAAGAATATATAAACCCGTCGTATTCGTACCTAACAACAGGCCATGAATGTTGTGCCATGATAAGCTGAATTTATTTTATGATTTTATGAAAGTAATACAATGAATACAAAGAAATATTAGGTTCGATACTCTTTTTCTTAAGTAAATACAAGAACGTCTGAACGCTTATTTGACTACCAATAAATGACAATCCTTTTTCATTACTTACATTATTCCACATTTTTAAATCTAAACTACGCCATTAGCCCTTTAGCCTTTCCCAACAGCAGTTAATGTAATAACTTAGTTAATAGTTAAATATATTGAAAAGCTGGCGAAAAGTTTCTTGCCAATTCTAATCGCTTGCGCTCCGACATATACAATTATAAAATCAGAATAAAATAAAAACTTACCAGCTAATATTTATTTAACATATATTATAATTAATATTAATTTGATAACATTATAATATATTTTAATCATGTGATATATTACACATTACAAATAATATGATGAAATGATATGACTCTTATGTAAAATTCATTTTAAGACCAATTTGCTCGCAATTATGTGGGGCACAATATGCGAACTTTAGATTGTTCCACCATTACATTTTTGTACCATATTCTTGCAAATAAATTATTATTATTAATAATACGTTTCGAGTGATTTTTAGCAATTGTGCTCAGGAACTGTTCTCTACAAAATTAATCAGACGTTCTATAAAAATCGCCATTGCAGCAACCCTTACTATATCATATTCAAACATAAAATACAGTAAAATAATATCTAATTAGCTTAAATAGTAGCACCACAATACTACGTATAAATTAAAGGAAACGTCAATTGTAAAGGGAATGTTAGGCCTACTTCGGGAGGACGGAATTCCTTGCTCGAAGATAATAAGACTTATTCAGGAGTTGTGGGAGTTATCAAAGTTTAAAGTAGATGATTCCATTAGACCGGATTAAGGACGTAAATTCCTTTAAAAAAAATATTATAACTATATTTCTTTTGTATTGAGTGACATGTTAAACGATAATTAATTTATATAAGATCCTTTTAGTCTAATTTTTGTATTCCCAATAGCGAACTGTGGAATCGACACCCGGTGGGGGACTTCTCTGAGAGATTCAACCTCCCCAATAGTTTAAAGTGATAGTATACTCCTCCCTCCCACCCCTGGAATGCTGTCCTAGACATAAAACTAGAAGTAAAGGTAGACAACATCGTAGATGGGAAGATGATATTCAAAGGGTGGCAGGAGCTACATGGATGAGGAAACCAAGAGAAAGATCTTTGTGGAGAACACTTGGGGAGGCCTATTCTGAAAAGCAAGACGATCAAGAAACTGGTATCTAATTGGAATAATATGATTATATTTACTTTAACTAAATTTCGTTAATAACTAAGTAGAAATAAGATAAAATGTAAATTACAAGATTGTCAATATTTATTTATTTATACTCCTCCCTCAAAGGCCAGCAACGCACCCACTTAAAATGGCTGTCCATGGGCTGCGATGACTTCTAGTTAGGAGGCTAGTTTGCCCCCCTCATAATATCAGAATTTGATTGTTATCAGAATGATAATAATGCTTCGTAACTATATGTATGTTTCTCCAAAAATTTCTCGAAACAAAAGTGTCATATCGATGAAGCTGGTAATCAGGTATTTCTAACTCCAAATTCAACAGCCAAAGTTTCCTCAAAATCTGTTGTTTTGATATAGGTTAGTTATGTCGTCAGATGCTTGAAGCCAAATTTTCTAAAAATTAAAATACTTTATAATTGAGAATCTAATTTCTTCTTTAATATTAGTGCAACCTTTTTATTGAAAAATCTCTATATTTTCGCTGATCTTTGTTAAATTAATAACAATAGCGGTTTATTTCAGATAAATTGTCTTCTTCTTTTGCGTTTATTGTATCTTGGGCACTAGTTTAGTACCTTACTGCTCCACTTTTCGTTTCCTCTTGCCATGTGCCCCAACCATTTCCACAAGTTTATTAAATTTTATTGTAACATCTGCTACCTTATTTATTCTTCTTAATGATGTGTTCTTTATTTTA